AAATTTTCATCAAACAACAGAAACCTGAAGCATTTCGTCTCCATGGAAGCCAATAATAATGTAACCAGCCTTCGCGTAGCATCATTTTCTTGTTACCTTAGCAACCCTGACGATCAGAGTTTTTTACATAAACTAGGAGGCTCTTATGAAGAGCCTTATTCTGCTGTTGTTTTACCACCTGAGAACCCCTTTTCTGTAAGAGCTACTAAGGCACCTACTAGTAAACCATCCTCGAATAACCCTCGAGACAGCCTTGCCAATCTTCGCGTTGAGTCTTTCTCTTCTTATCTCAAGACTGATGAAGACAACTTTGCATTTAAGACCTCAGGTGCTTCTCCTGTTCAAGATCCTACTATTGCATTTGTTTTTTCTCAGCAAACTTTGGTTAGCACTCAGAAACACCAAGAAAGAACCAAGTTGAAAGATGGGGAACTAAGCATATTTGGAGCTGACAAGTATTTCAACAAGAAACTGGAATATGGAGCTGCCGCTACATCTGTGGTGAAGTATGGCGGGCAGATGAACAACGGGATGGTGGATCTTCCCCACCCGAAACCAAGTTCCCAGACAGGAACTCCAAGCATCCATTCAGAAGCAAGCAGTTTTAACAGTCAAAGTGCACTGTTACAAAATCTTCCAAGAAACAGATATCAAACAAACCAGAAGAAGTCGACAGGAAGGAGATTTTTTGCCACTTTTGGTTGCCCTGGACCTTGTTCAGGAAAAAAAGCAGTCCGTGTGGATCAAAGCTCGGAACCTGGACTTCCCCAGCCAGGATCAAAACATTCAACAGGTCATTTTGCATTAAGTTCTGGCACGGCTTCTGTGGACGAGAAATTGAGAGTAGTCAAAAAACATTTGGATGATCAAGATCAAACCATCGAAGAGCAAAGAAAATCAATAGAAGTGTTTGGCTCCGGAAAAATGAGACAAGGAGACATAGCAGTAAATTTAGAAAGGAAACTCTCCATGTTAACTTGGGACGCCATTCCTAAAGCCCAAAACCTCCCTCGTGCAACCATAGGAAGCAGTACAGTTTGCGATGACATTGCTAGTGATGCTAGCTCTGATCTATTCGAAATTGAGAATATATCTAGCAGTGGATATGGACTCATGCATTCACAAACTAGCGATTATGTTCCTGGCTGCATGTCTCCAACAACTCAGTATGCACCAAGTGAGGCCAGTATTGAGTGGAGTGTTATCACAGACAGTGCTGCTGGTTACTCATCAGTCATCTCAGATTATGATTCAAAGAGAATTAGCATTAGTGGCAATGCAATTCCAAGAAATGCAGCATGTACAAACACCAAAAACAATAAGAATGCAGTCAGCAAAGAAGATCAAAAAGCCCGTCAAGGCGGGCTTTTAGGTTGCAAGAGTCACAAAGCAGTAAGTGTGGTTGAAACTGTATACAAGACTGGTGAGAACACAAAACATCATCAGCGCGGTTGATCGAGATGATTAGCCCCTAATCCAGTATCTTCATGTTAAATAAGAGTGTTGAAATAAATGGTTCAGTTGAAATTTTAGGAGTTTGTACTTTGTAATATCTTAGTAATGAAATTTGTATTTTACTTATCTCTCTACAGAATAATATTAGTTTTATTATTTTAGCTAATTTGTCTTCCACTTAACTGCTATGCACCTACTACTAATTATCTTGTTATCAAACAAAGCTTTATATCATGACTTATCTTTTCTTGCCAAGAAAAGACACAGCAGCCTAAATACAAGAAAGTATAAAGAAATATTTCAGTGAGAGGCAACAAAGGCCCAGTTTAGAGTATATTTTTTTTAAAAAAATTGTCACCTGAGGCCACCCTTGTCTAAAGAAAAAAGGTATCTTAGTTGTTTATATTTCCTTTTTTATGTGTGTTCACCTGATACTATAGTTGGTACATCCAATTTGATCATCTAATGCAACTAAAGCTACTTTTTTTCTAGACAGGTTTGCCTTACTTATGACGAGCAGTGGCGGAGCCACCTTTGTCCAAGGGGGTGCCAAACGAGCTAGTGTCAATTGACAAATTATCGGGTGTAGATATGTACTAATTTGTTATTATACATATTTACTAATGAAAAACCTGACTCCACCACTATGTACGAATAAGTAAATTCAAATCCAATAGTTGTCATGCGCCAATGTGAAGAGACTTTTTCCCTAATCTTACTTCAAACTGAGTCACACCTCTGGATGTACTATACATTACGTGAAAGGTAGTAACTATTTAGTGAAATAGTCAAAGTGCATCCAAGTTGATTCAATCACCACCGTTGTTAAAGTCCATCTAAATACATAAATTTGTCCCTGAATTTTGTGTTTTCAAAAAAGATACAATCGCATTATGTTTCTAGCTAAATATTGGTTCTAGTAGTTGAATAAAAAGGAGTGTCATAAACAATAACCATATTAGACAAAACAAGTACAAAAGTTAAGCGTTGACACGTACCATTCTGGGACATTAATTTAAAAAAGTTTAGAGTTTCAATTGTCCTATTTATAAAACACAATTCCTTAGTTCTCGACAGGAATCACGTGTTCAATCAGTCGAGGAATCCAAAAAAACTGTTGAAGAAGGTGAGCTTTGATATTTTATTAGTATATATATGGATTATTGTAGAATATGAGTTTTTAATAATTTGGAGGACTAAAAGGGAATGACAAAACCACATGCAGCCTAAATGTGTTGGGTACCAACATTTAATTTTGTACCCATTCAATAAGTAAGATGGGGTTCTCTTCTCTCACTTTCACTCCTTTAGGCTAAAAAATCTGGTTAGGAATAAACCAAACAAGGAGATACTTGTGTTTGAGTAACTTAAGTTCGCGTGATACACACATTTGAACTCGATAATGGCGTAGCCTAGAGAAACAGTGAGGACTCTGAGTCCCTAAGGGGTTGTATGTGATGCTCACGAGGGCGTGCAAGTCACACTTAAAAAGGACTAATTAATAGGCTTCTAAGTTGACAAGTTTATGAAAAAAAGGGTGTATACGATCCATTAATTTGGTGAATCAGTGAGAGCTTTATAAGACATAGAAAAAATTCATGCACGATCTAATTTGACTCAGGCTAGAAAAAAGAAACTGTTATTGATGATGGAGAAGCTAAGGTAACTACCATGTGGTTTATTTTCAACAAATTTATAAAGAAGATGGCGAAAGCGCTAGGCCGTAATTGCATGAAACATCAAACTAAATATTCATTCTCAAAAGATTGTCACCATTCTTTTCCTGCAACTACTTGGATTTGCTCAAGGTGTCAACTAGTGTATAGCATTCATGATAATCTGACCAATAATTAAAGGCGGTTTTAAAGATGGAGTCGGAATTTAAAATTTAACAATTAAATTAATATTTATAATATTGTGTTGACAGAAATGGTAAGTTTGGCGTGAACCACATGTTATCATGTAGATCCGCCCCGAATGCCCTATCACTAAAGAATTGAGGGTGGAAATAATTTCTACTCGATTGGTAGTAATAGGGGTGTCAAATGAACGAATTGAAACGAAATTGAACAAGTTAAAGAGTTAATAAATAAGTTTGACCTAAAATCAATCCAAAAATTACTTGAGTTTAAATAGATGGGCTTAAAATGGATTGAGTCATGACCCATCCAATTTGACCTAATTTTAATTTTTCAAACGGTCCATATTTCTTACCCCACCTCTTACTCAGATCCACCCTTTAGGTCTGACTCACAATCCCGACCCCTGCTTGATCCAAGACCTAAGACCTAACCTTGATCTGATCCTTACTCGAAACCCAAGACACGAGCCTCAACCCTCGACATCAACCTTGACCCAACACTCGAGACACTAGTCTTATGTCCATACCATGACCCGAGATTCAAAATCCGACCCTGGCCTAGACTCAAACCTTGGCTTTGACCCAAAGTTCGAGACATGAGCCTAACTCAAGACACAACCTTGATCTGAGACTCTAGACTCGATTTTGACTCAGTGCTTGAGACCAAACCCTGACTCAGGACTCAAGACTCAACCTTGATCCTAAACCCAACCCCAATCAGAGATCTTATCCTAACTCGGTATCCAAGACTCCACTTTGACTCAGAACTCAAGACCCGACCCCAACTCGAACTTTGACCCAAAAATCGAGAACCAAACCTCGACCTTGATTTGACCCCGACTTGTGACCAAAGTACTGGGACCCAAATCCTAACCCATTAAAAGAATCAAAGTAAATCTCAACAATAAATCCAAATTAAAGTAAATCTTAAAAATATACCATAATTGAGCTAAATTGAAGATCACTTCCAATATGAATGATGTTAAGGTGAGCTAAAATTAGCCTAATATGAAATTATCTTATGTCAACCTCTTAAAATATTGAGCGGTTTAAAGAGGCCATCACATTTTGGGCCATATAACGGCCCTATTGTAGCATTAATGAATTTGTAGGCCTACTATTGGAATGTTTTGCACAAAAAGGACCACTAGAAGTTGGATATCAATGTCGTAGTTAAGGTTTGACGATGACTGACAATATGAGTCGATTTCGACAACGTATGCTTTAAATGTATTTCTTTGTCCTTCATTATTTCACTTTTTATTTTAATTAATTAAAATCGATACAGATTTTAACTAAAATGTAGCACAATTTTTTTATTTTTTTTTTTAAAAAAACATTATCAGGTTAAAATTACCTACAGGCTACAATGGTAGTCTAAGTAAATAAGTAACTTTGATATAAGAGAGTGCATGTATACAAAATTAAACCAAGAAACTAGTGATATGTGGTGTGATGATATATAAATGGTTAAAATTATGAGATGTTGAATATTGAACTATCTTTAGAAAAAAATTAAATGCTACTATACTATAGTTTATCTCCGTCAATAATTAATTGTAAGCATCCTTGTCAAAAAAAGATACGATAAGATTTTATTTTAATTTTATCCTCTTAGAACATCATCGAAAGGGACCTTAGCCTTTGGGCCTTTAAATTCCTTAGCCAGTCCATTCATTCCAGTAACAAGCAATATAAGCCCAAAGAGAAAAGATTGTTGGGCCAAATTCTGCCAAGTGAAATGATTTTTGGTTTTTTCTATTTTAATCAAAGGAAAAGGTTTATATATACCACAATTTTGTGGTTTAAAACTACTATGCTGCAAAAGTGGTTCACTTTTAGAGCTGATAAGCCACCCTTAACCTTTTTCTTATTATTAGTTTATGAAAAAAATTAACAAACACACAAAGAAGCTAGGAATTTTAAATTTTGAAATTTATTTTTATCAAACTAACATTATATTTAAGCATTTTTTTTCTGTAAAAAAAAGTTATTATAGTCAAAGTCATCAGTAAAGTAATTTTTAACTTTTTAGTAGTAATAATTCCACTTATATATTGCCACACATTATACGTGTCAAAGTCCAAGCTTATGATAAAAAACACAAATGCTTATGTGTCGTTTATTTATTGGGTGTGAAAAACCCTAAAACCCTTTCATATATTGTGTCTCAAAGAGACAGGTTATTGCCGTTTAGGGTTTAAGCGAAATCAAGAAAATCAGTTAAGCAGCTCTGTAACTCAGGTGGGAAAAAGGCAAAAAATAATGGTGGTTGACAAAGGGAAGAAGCAGAAAGTGGAAGAGGAAAGCTACATTGATGAAAAGCTCATTTTTTCCATTGAAAAATTGCAAGAAATACAAGACGACCTTGACAAGGTAAATTCTATCTTCCTTGCGGTCAAACAATAAATCATGGAAATATTTGAGTTCTTGTTATTCCAATATTTGGGTAATTTTTCATCTACAAGGATTTTGTCTAAAACTGGAAATATCTTCAAGTAAAGATTCAATTTTTATGGTAAAGAATTAGGTATTAGTTAATTATTGCTTGGAGGCGGATCCAGGATTTGAATTTATGGGGGTTTCCCAGCGATCTCAATAAATTAATACTATAAGGTATCTAATCGGATTCGAGCAAATTAGGGGTCGGTTTAGATTTAGCAGCGTCAATTTCTGCCAGTGAACCAAGCACTTGCTTTGTTATTGGTTCCCAACAAATATTTTTTAGTGTCTGGTCAAAGGTCACTGGGTTTGCGGAAGCCCCACCTACCCCTGCATCCATCCCTGTTATCGCTAGGTAGTGCGTTGAACAGTTAATCTCAATGCAGAGCAGGTTGTTCGAGTGGAAAGTCTCTTTCTTTTCTTCTTTGGGTGGCTGGGTTTGGAGTTCTTGAAATATGTTGTTTATAAAATGTGCCAGAATATTGCTGATGGATATTGAAGGTCGGTGTAGCTGACTCTATGATCGACTAATCATTCTATGATGAAAATAGAATAACTTCCAATTTGGTGTTATTTTTGGGACATAGTTGTTCGGATGATACTCTATGTCTTCAATTTAATTTGGCACTCCTTAATTTTCCCATTTTCCATTGTTAAGATTAAGCTTTTAATGCATAGACATCCTTATATGTATTCTAACATTGCTCCAAAACTTGTCTGGTTTCTCCATGTATTTGACAATGAGAATATGGTTCCTTGTTTTAAGTGTGGACATAAACTGGGTATCACTGGCAGTGTTGTAGTGTTCGAAAATTTTCATCTGTACACTGAAAGCTTAATCATTTGGCATACTATCAACTTTTACTGGTTCACAATAACTAGCTTGGATCAATTTGCTAGAAGTTTTTCTTCTGCTGTTTAACTGTAAGATAAGATGGGATGCCCTTGGTTTTACATGTTAACCGATATATCAATTTTGCTGGCAGATCAATGAGAAAGCAAGTGAGGAAGTGTTGGAAATAGAACAGAAGTACAACAAGATCCGCAAGCCTGTTTATGATAAGCGGAATGATATCATTAACTCTATTTCTGACTTCTGGTTGACTGCTGTTAGTGGCCCCATCCTGATCCTTTGTTCTCTCTATATTCTGGAATTCTGAAGATTATTTTACACTATATCTCATTTGCTTGCAGTTTTTGAGTCATCCTGTTCTTGGTGACCTTCTAACTGAAGAGGACCAAAAGGTTTGATTCTAATTTGTTGCATATAAACTTCTGAAGCAAACCATTACTGTTTCTCTAAGCAAACCACCTGCTCAATTAGCAAAGAGTCTCTCATCTATACCCTGTCTAAGTGCAGTTTGAATGACTGCTTTCGTTCTGATCTGAAACTCATAATCTTACTGCCTTCTTTCTTGCTAGATTTTCAAATTCTTAAGTTCTATTGAAGTGGAAGACTCGAAAGATGTGAAATTTGGTTACTCAATCACGTTTGTGAGTTCATTACTCTCTTGATGATGAAATTAATTTAGTACATTAGACTCTTGTGTTTGCTGGGGTGTAGAATGCTAATGACTCCTCGTCTTCCTCACAGAACTTTAAGCCCAATCCTTTCTTTGAAAATTCAAAGCTCTCAAAGACCTATACCTTCCTTGAAGATGGACCTACAAAAATCACAGCTACACCAATAAAATGGAAAGAAGGCAAAGTGAGTCGACAATTTCCGACTTGACAAATGTTACACATCTTTATCTTATCCGTTTCCTCTCACTATATATGTTATTTGGCTTTTGAAGGGCATTCCTAATGGCGTTGCTCAGGAGAAGAAAGGAAACAAGCGATCCCATGCTGAAGAGAGGTCAGCTTACAGATCTAGCATTTCTTAGGACTTCTAATTTTTTGCAAGGCTATTAATTGTTTATAACAAGCCTGTCAACTTGCAACTGATATATTGTTGGAACCTTGGTTTGTACAAGAGAGTAGGTTTGCTCACACATTAAGCCTGGTTATGATCTCTACCTTAGGAACTCAGATTCTGGTACAGCACATTTACTTACTAAATCTCACCTATAACTGGCTCATTTTAGTTTGATCTTTGAAATAACATACCAACCCCTAATTGACTGCTGCAATGTGTTTACTTTACTAAGAGTCGAGTGCGGAATATATTGGTCCATCCGTCACAAAAAGAAATGGCAGGATCAAAGTTAATGATTCAAATCACTCATGATTTCTGACAAAAAGAAATGACAGAATTACGTAAGAGCATAATAACTTTTTATAATATAAATGTTTTGGAAAAATTCTTTCTTGAGAAAACCTATTTGAGTTCCCAAATAGTAATAGTGCAAAATATGGCAGTTAATGCAGCCTTGTTGAAACTATTTTACAACTGTGTGCACTCACTAAGTTTTTGGTCTACAACATTCTGTGACTATCCTCATAAAGTCACAAATACTTGGTACTAAGTTGGTACAGAGACTGATACATGCTCGATGCTTTGTCCTCTGCACTCTTAATTTAAGCTGTACTTCTAAGTTTCATGTTTATGGTCATCCTATCTCAGTTGCTTTCCACTTGTTTTTACAGCTTCTTCACCTGGTTCAGTGAAGTCAATAAAAAAGATGATAGCGATGATGATGAAAATGAGGTTCTGGAGATTCAGGATGAGGTAAAATCTAATTCTTCGGCAATTAATTAAGATTTTTATCTCCCTTCTTTTTGGATGGGAGAAGGGGAGCTTATTTAGGTGTTTTGGTGCATAAAGCTGCTTTTATTTTCAAACTTATACCTTGGTTTTCTGGTTTCCAGGTTGCTGAAATAATCAAGGATGACTTGTGGCCAAACCCTTTAACTTATTTTACCAATGTTAGTTCCATACTGCATCTCTTGTTTCCTTGATCTGTTAATCAAGACTTAGTCGTGCACTTTTAACTAGATAACATTATCTGAGATTTACTAAACCACAGGAACCTGATGAAGAAGATTTTGAGGGTGATGAAGGTGGTGATGAGGTAAAGCAACATTCTTGCTAATAGTTGTCATAACTTGTGCACATCATTTGCTAAACTAAGTCATACTTAGTCATCTGTGGTTCTAATATGTCCTCCTTTTGGGTTTTACATTTATTTCTTTCCTAGGCCCACGTGGCATGAGGGTGAAAGGGCACTTTTGGAAAAAGTTTCTAAATTCTAAGTGCGGCCTTAGTAACTTTAGTTGTAGAATTTAAGTGTTTGACCCTGCTTGGTTGTGGCCTTTGTTGATTTTACTGGCGTTTAAGTCGATTTGTTGTCATTGTGAGTTGAGTTGCTTTTGTTGACTTCAGAATTACATAGTAGCTATGTAGTACAATGGTTTTCTTAAATACTAGGGATAATTTTGTTCCTACCCCCCCCCCCCTATCACATCAAGTAGAAAGAGTCTACTCAAGTTTGTAGGTAGTTTCTTCAAGAACTTTCCTTCGTTTACGTATGTCTAAAAGAAGCACATACTGTCAGCATTTGGAAGTTAACAGTTTCAAAGGTCCTTCCAAGTGACTGATATGATTTTACTAAAATCATATAGCTGCAACGCTGTAATATCCTATAGAACATAGAACCTCCTTCATAACTTTCTGCAAGAAATATAGTTCTTTGTGTTTGTGTTGCTTCAGTTTTTAGGTGTTTATCCTACATTTCCATCTTAGTTTTCATGGAAACTTTTTGCTGCTGTATTGTGGGTTAAACCAAAACTTCGTCTACCTTGCATTTTGATGAGAAGTTGGGTGGATATCAAGTTGGGTGTAATAGAAGGCGGAGTTGAGACATGTGAGGGAGAAAAGGGGAAGGTATGGTGAAGGAAGTCCTAGATTGAAGCCTCAAAAAGATGCCATCTTCAAAAGCATCATAAAGGGGGCATAGGGGATTCTTCTATACTTCTAAATACATTTGTGTCAGTACCTTGTTGGTGCTATTCTATGAGAACACGTTAACTTAGTATTAAACAAATGCATAATATAAGGAAGAGGATGAAACCATAGCTTTTGGTTTTATCTTCCAGGATGGTATTGGTTGGGTACTCTGCCTTTCAGAAAATCAAAGTTATCTTTGTTTTTGAAAACAATAAAGTATATATTCTAACAAAGAAATTGTGCTTATTTTCTTACTTTCATCCCTTGGGCCTAGGGAGAGAAGTCTTTTTGGTGGAACGACACTTTTTTGTTTAGGATAAGAGGAAGGAGTGGGTCTTACTGCTGTTTCACTTTCCTAGCCAAATGGAGGTAAAAGTGGGACATGTATGACTCCATCAAGAGTTGGGATCTTCACCGCAGGAAAGAGGAAAGCCTGCTTTGGTTTTAAACTTCGATTTCCAATTCTACCAAACAATATGAGGAGGAAGAAATGCAATTACGTGCAAGTGCCCCTATCTCTTCTTACCTTTCCTCAACTTAAATATTTGGCATTTGACTTGTATTCTGGATACAATGCAGAGATATTTTATGGTATAGAACTTGTTAATTGGGTCTTTTACTGCATGCTCATCATTATTTTTGGAAGATGATAGTACAGTTCTTGATTTTTTAAATGATAATGTCAAAATAAATTGTGTATATGATGCAAAATGAAAGATGTTCTGTTCTGTCTTTGGTTGATTTGATTTGAATTCCTATATGCAGGGGGAGGACTCTGAAGATGAAGGTGATGAGGAGGAAGAGGAAGACGACGAAGATGAAGATGACAAATGAACTGTTAATGGACCTCATATTTGATTTGATTTCTCTTCTTCAATGTTTCAATTATCATAGTTGGTATCTGTAAAGAAGCTTAATATTGCAGATAAAATCGAATTATATATAGTGGTGACTGCTTTTTTACTACAAAATGAACTTTTTCTTATTCATTCTTTAACCTTTACTTTAAATCTTTTTTATTTTCAAGTACATGATTCTTTCTATGCAAAAAGGAAAAGACAGGGGTACTCATCTCGTTGACATACTGGTAAATTGTCAGCTCACATATTTGGCCGGCACTAACAACGTCATATATTTCCTTCAAATATTCACTTGATTCCAAATTCATGGTAGGTGGAAACACAATACTTTATTGTGAAAATGATGATGCCAACACAGTTTGTAGTGACTAAAATATTATTGTTTCTCGTTTGTTGATTGGTACATGGGATAAGTATAATAATGTTAAAACAAAATTTCAGATTAACTTTATCGTTTGATCTGGTGTATTAGTTAATCCTGAGATTATTTTATTCCACCTTTTGTGTGCTTTTTCCGTCCATGATTAATATCATCGAGCAACCAAACCAAGTTGACACTAAAACAAATGGCAAAAATACCGACTGTAGATTTGAGTCCATTTTTGAGAGAAGGATATGAAGATGAAAAGAGAAAAATTGTGGATACAATTAGTAAAGCCTGTTGTGAGTATGGTTTTTTCCAAATTCTGAATCATGGTGTACCCCTTGATCTCACTAGTCAAGCTGTAAAGGTGTCAAAGTCTTTCTTTGAGTCTCCAAATGAAGCCAAACTCAAATGTTCTCCACTGCCTAATGTACCTGTTCCTGCAGGCTATAACAAGAAGCCTAATCCTTCTTATGAGTTTAGTGAATTCCTTATTATGCTTCCACCTGGTTCTGACTACAATATCTTCCCAGACAATCCTCCTGAGTTTCGGTATGAGCATAATCTTTAGCGTTTCGTTTATACTTCCTAGGTGAATCTAGAATGATACAGGGCTCAATTGAATCTATTGCTTTCAACTCGAATTATGTATATGTACATAAAGAAAAAGTTTTGAAAACAAATTGGATTCTTTTTATCATTTAAGCATATTTAATCAGATTGTTTAGCTATACAATTTCACCTTAGGTAGAGGTAAGGTCTGTGTACCCCCACCCTCTCTAGACCCTACTTGTGAGATTATACTGGATATGTTGTTGTTATCGTTTATCTTACATATCTAATGCTTCTTTTCCCATTTGATGTTAATAAACACATATCAGCATGATGCATTTAGTCCTTCAATTGTCATGCAGGGGAATAAACTTTGGTGTTTCATATCTTATGCTAGTTTTGCAAGTGTTACAATATCATCTATTTATATGATGAGTTTCTTCAACATTTCAGAGAGGTGATGGAAGAGTTATTCTCCCAATTCATGAAGATAAGTATGGTTATCGAAAGAATCCTAAGTGAATGTCTAGGGCTTCCTCCCCGTGTTCTTAAAGAATTCAACAACGACAGAAGCTGGGATTTCCTCATTGCTATGTTTTACTTGCCGGCAACAGAAAAAGAAAGGATAGGGGCAAATCCACATAAAGATCTCAGTTGCTTCACAATTGTTTTACAAAATGAAGTTGCAGGGCTGGAGGTTCAAAAGGACGGCGAATGGATCCTAATAGCTCCACAACCAGGTGCCCTAGTTGTCAACATTGGTGATGCTCTTCAGGTAAATAAATGTATTTGTGTGAAAAAGTTAGTCCTCATAAAACAATTGAGTGGCAGCTAGCTCATTCATAGAACAATAAAAATCAATAGTTAGCTATAGAGGCGGATCCAGGTTTATTTTTGTAATGGAATGAATTCTGATTGTTACAACGTGAACAGGTCCTTACGAATGACAAATTCAAGAGTCCACGCCATAGAGTGGTGAGGCCAAATGGAAGATCAAGGAATTCATTCGCGTTCTTCCACAATTTATCAGGGGATAAGTGGATTCAACCACTGCCTCAGTTCACAAAAGAGATTGCAGAACCACCAAAATACAGGCCATTCTTGTATAAAGAGTATCTACAGAAAAGAAGAGAAAGCAAGTCTAAGCACATTGCCAGGATCGAAGATGAGATTACCATATCGCATTATGCAATCCCTGAAGAGTAATGTTTAGACAAAAATAAGAAGGTAATCGTCTTGTCACTTGTAAGACATTAACTCATGATCTCGCGATTATCACGATAGACTTATCTCTTCTGATTTAATGAAAAGGCACATTGAATCAAGAATATTGAGATTTTTTAATAGTAAACCCCTTGATGGAAACATGAGTAAAGTTATATTAAAGCTAACATGCTTATTTTACTAGTCTTGAAAAGGGAAAAACAGAATATGCTTATTGATACTATATGTCCATCACATGTAAAGAATATTTGCTTGTGTGGGATAATATAAATCAAGGAAATGGAGTTTTTGCTCTCCATAGATTTTAGTAGTGTAGCTTATGAATTTCATTTTACAACAAAAAAAAGAGAAGAAATGTATAGAATATGATACATACTCAAGTCAGGTAAAAGTTATTTAAAGCCTATTTTAAGGGAGGGGATTAGATCCCTACCTGTCCATTACATAGAAAAGGATGAGCTTTGAGGAACAAAAGGATCCAAAGTGTTCTTTTTATTACCTGTCCTAAAAGAAAATGTGTTAAACAGAAATGGGCAATGTCAAAATTTGAAAGGTGCAAGTGAGTAGGCCTTGGGGACTCTTATTAGAAATTGGAAACTTTCACGTAGTCATTAAAAAATAGCTTAATTACTCTCTATAGCTATAGTTTGATAATTATAATTCATAGTTATATGTTATAGGGAGGAGAGAGGCGAGCGAGACTCGGAGAGAGAGGGCAAAAAGTAAGAGAGAGGTGAATTGTATATGTATATTGGTTAGATAATTATATATGATACAAATGTATTTGTAATATGCAAGCGAGATTGGAGAGGGAGGAGAGAGGCGAGCGAGATTGGGAGAGGGAGGAGTGAGGCGAGCGAGAGCGGGTAGAGAGTGGGAGAGAGGTGAACTGTATATGTATATTGGTTAGATAATTGTATTATACATATGCATTTGTATAAAAAAAAAGGCAAAATTGGGAGAGAGAGGATAGAGACGAGCGAGAGAGGTCAAAGAGTGAGAGAGATGTGACTTGTATATGTATATTAATTAGATAACTGTATATGTATAATTATAGCGAATTATACATATACAAATGTGACTAATTATACAAATTCAAAATTAGTCCACATAATTAATATATAATGTTAGTCATGACTAATAATTATAGCAAATTATAATTATGATAAATAATTAAGTATTATAAATTTATTTAATCGCATAAGTATCCATAGAAAAAAGGGCTGAGTGCTGACCACAACTCTCTTCTTACGAATTGGGCCCAGAAAGCAGTCCAACATGCAAACTGCAATCGGCTCGGGCCGCGCTTGCTTGTCGGATATTGGGTTAGTCTTAAGTTTATATTTTCGTATCATAATATTTCCTAACTTAATATCCCACGACCTAAAAGAAGTTATGTCGTTTTTGGTATAAGTTTTATTTCTAAAGACAAAAATGAAATACCAACTTATTTAAAAAGAAAATTATGCTATTAAATAAATCGTCTTTTTTTAAAGTAATGAGGCACCAAATCTTATAGTCTAACTAATAAAATCGATGAAAGTTTTTCACATTCTCATTTCACTAAATCAATTAACATCCAGCAGAATATAAAAGGGAGATTTATTAGTAGATTTTCATTGACAAATAATAAAGATATTTAAACCGATTTTACTTTATCTTGTAAGCCAAAGAGGTTACAAAGAATGAGATAAGTTTCATAACACAAACTAAAAAGTTTGAAAAATATTTCTAACCTTTAATTATATAACCTTTATTTTTTACCTACCAGAGTTCTCTATGCTCAATTTCACAATCAATTATTTCTGGTAGGCCCCATTTTACAAAAAAAGGCAAAAATGTTAATGCTCATCAAGAGTGGCATAACAAAATAATGAGTATTATTATTTTTGGTTATATCGTTTTCTATGCACACTCATGTGAGCTGCATGCATCATTTTATTAGAGCACTTTAATTGGAAAAATTGCTTTCCTTTAATTAATCCTTGACTTTGTCATTTATATTAATACTAAAATTAATTTTCTAATTATTAGGTGTGACGTGGCGTTGTCTTCATCTTGTGATTGAAAAAGTTTATATGTGCTTTTGTTATTATGAGCAGCCATGTGTAATCATCATTTTCTCTTTAATCATTCAACCAACGTAACGCACAATCTTGAATTTCTAACCTTAAACCCCTCAAATTCATCTAATTAAAACACCACCTTAATTGTTGGACCTAGGTGTTTAACTAGGTCCATAGCTCTTGCTTCCCCCAATAATCATAATTTCAACTATTTGATTGTCACGGTAGAGTTTTACATTTAACTTGTCTACCCCTTTATGTCTCAAAATACTCATCATACGCAAAACTTTAAAATATCGAAATAATTTTTCAAATTTTACCTTTAGTAGGACTACAAACATCTCATTTTATTTTTATCACATATAGATAAATACTTAGGGTTCGTTGGTATAAGGGATTAAAAGTAATAGTGATGGGACATAAAAAAATTTATCTTGTTCGGTTGTCATGTTTGAGATAATTTATCCCACCATTTATATCATAATGATGGATAAGCTAACCCAGAAAAATTTATTTTGGGATAACTTATTCCAACCAAACGATCTCTTAATAAAGAGAGATTATATCTTAAAATATAAATAAATAAAATAGCTAAATACACCCTTAATAAAGTATTTTCTTAAAAAGCATGTAAAATTAAAGATCGAATAAGTATGTTGTTGAATGCCTTGAATCGGACCCGCTACAAACAGAAAGGACGGGGGTCTCGCTGCCCGGTCAGCGAGTCGGGGGGTCCAGGGGGGCAACGCGCCCCCTGGCCTGGGGGTCCGGGGGGGCGGAGACGCCCCCGGCCCGACGGTATACAATGTTGTTGTATTGGGCCCTTAATTTTCTGTTGATTCTGTATGTTGGGCCCAAGCCTTTTAGGGCGTAGCTTAGCACTATATATAGACGCTATGACAAACCCTATTCAGTAATTCTGT